TAATAATAATAATAATAATAATAATAATAATAATAATAATAATAATAATAATAATAATAATAATAATAATAATAATAAACAATAACAAGCGAGATGACAAAATGACAGAAAGAAATAGATTGTTTAATTTTGACGGCTTTTTTTTTCCTTAAGTTAAATTCAATTTCGCAATAAAATTTGTGACCGAAATCTAATCAAACATCTGCTTTCCGAAGAAAAAAAACAAAGGAGTCAATTCTTTAAAATTTACCGAATTAATTTAAGAAACTGTGTTGCAGTACTATTAATGAACAGTAAAACCATTTGTTCAATTTCATCTTAATTGCAATATTACATTAATTTAATTAAAATGTTTAATGTATCGACGACTTTTTTTAAATTATTGTATGAAAAAATAGATAAAAATGATTGAAAATGTTCAAATTCATTGCGATTGTTTAATGGATTTGAAGGGAAATGTTCCAATTGTGAAATTCATCACTTCAAATTGGGAATTAAAAACTTAATGGATTAAGATTAGGTTGACAAATAAAAATGGAATAGATATATTAGTATTTAGTAATTGCGCATAATAAGAAAGATGCTAACAAATTAAAGAATAAATGATAAATATGAAATTAATGAAGAGGAAACATTACACAAATAATTTAAATTAATAAATGTATTATATTTACATGTCACAAAAATAAATATTAATTAAATTGATATGGTATAAAAGTAGTAAAAAAAGAAGGAGAAAGTGAACATTTGCACATATTAATTTAAATTTATTTACAAGTACTTACATTTATTAATTTTTTCGTTTATTGATTAATATTTATAGTTCTTTCTCGATATTTACTTTTGTCAAATTTATCATATTTACAATATTTGTTGTCATTTCCAGAAAAGTTCTAATCATTTGTAAATTTAAAATATAAATGAAAATAGATAATTTTAAATCTCTTTTCAAAATTTTTGCTTTTCAAATTTAGAAAAAAAAACAATACATTACAGCTAACTATTCCGAAAATGGATAAATAATTCTTGCGAAAAATATACGAATTAATGATGTGTTTAATTCCTAATAAATAATGAAGACGACTATCATTCCATTCCTATGACAAATCTGCTTAGGTAATTAGCTCTTTAATTTACAGGTGAAATAGGACAATTTAGAAGATGTTAAATTTTCAAATTAAATGAGTAATTATTTTATGAAATAACAAAATTTAATTAAAAATTACAGCATATTGCCAGGAAAGAAATGTTATAATGCAGCTAGCACACGAAATAAACAAAATGAAATCTTTTTTAAAAGAAATTGTTTTATACTTTAACAGATTAAAATACGCTTTAAAAAAAAAAAAGAAAAAGGAAATCATAACTGTTAAGGTAAAATGAAAAAATATATCAATAATAATTTAATGATTTAAAATTCGAAAAAAAATTTTGTGGTGAACAATTTTAAACGTATTATGGGCTATTACAACTAACAATTACTTATAACAATTACTTTTATAACTATGCCCTTTATTTTTTTAAAAAAAAAAAGTAAGAAAGATTGAAGATTGAGCAGTTATTCACTTCTTTCCATTTCTGAACAAAAGAGCTTTATGAGAACATTACAAGATAATAATTTTAACAGATAATTAAATTAGTTAAGCATTAAAAATATTCATTATTCATTATCAAATTAATGACTAATAATAATTACTCAATCAATTTTGGA